ATAATTCATATATTGTGTCATACAACAAGTGACACGTACCTCACGTGTCTCACTACACAACAACTAGATATTTATGACAGGGAACAGTCTAGACTTTATCTACAAGTGCCAGGACAGGATGAAGGCAAGTTTGAGGATGCCCTCCTCAAAGGGCAAGAGAGTGAAAGAGACAGGCCCTGCTGCCCCAGACTCTCCTGAAGTTAACCACATCAGCTGATGCTACCATCATAGAGGCCATCAACAGGCTCCGCACAAACCTACAAGCCACCAAGGTAGATATTTGCCAGACAATAGATGCTCGCATCGAGGAAGTAATCACCACAATTAGAGGAGAACTGTCTGCTTTTAAGACTGAGACTCAGAGCGCCATCTAAGCCTTGCAAACATCAAATGACCAACATGGCACAACCATTGCAGAGCTGGAGTGCACAGCCACACAATCCTCTGATGCCGAAGCTAAGCTAAGCTATGACTGGAGGTCAAATGTTTATGCTCAGAAGTAAATCAACTAACAGACACATGCATGGATCTAGAAGGGCAGTTCAGACAACAAAGTGTGTGGAACACAATGTTAAAAGAAGGGGCTGAGAAAGGTGCAGAAATGAACACATTTGTTTTGTGGCTCCTGAAAGATGTGCTGTCTATGGATGACTTGCCACTAGTGGACCGCGCTCTTAGATCCACACGAAAGAGCCCAGATAATACAGAGCCTCCTCGTGCACTGGTAGTGAGACTCCACTATTTCTTTGATTAGACAGTGATCCTCCGGAGAGCTGCAACCCTGAAGGATCTCTTCTATCATGGGCAGAGGGTCCACATTTTCCTTGACTTCACTCCCAAGGTTATATATGACAGTGAGACAGTGACAGGATGAGATATGGATGCAGTTAGGGAGAACATGGAGGTTGAGTGAGGACACAGTGAGCTGGAGGAGGATGACTCACTGTGGCGACCCCTGAAGAGGGAAAAGCTGAAAGAAGAAGAGCTTGTTCGGTTAGAGGTTTACAGCAGGTATTGATGACTGTAACTCAGGATCCCTTCACGCTGCACAACCACCCTGCTGCAATGTAATAATCAGCCAGAATGAGTCTTGTGTGTGAGGTCTTGGTGAGGTTGTTTGTGCTTACATTCAGAACTCAGTGGGCTTCCTGTTGCACAGGATGGAGCATGAGCATGGTGGCATAAAACTTCTGTGGTGAGGTTGAGTTGGTTTATTATCATGGTGGCAACATATGTGGGTCCCAGCTGGAGCGTTGTGGCATCGTGCGCACCAGCTTGGCTTTGTGGTGAAGAACAGGAAGTTGTTCTGGCCACACTGTTATGATCCAGACTCATTCTAAAGAGTCAATCTTTTTAACGGCCATGCATCATCCACTGCTGTGCCTTTTCTTCCTCTCTGTTTTCTCTGAGTGTTCCTTGGCATTCATAAAGACAACTTCATGTGTGTTTTCTAGGCTTACCTGGATGAATTGGTGGAGCTGCATAAAAGGCTGATGACGCTTAGAGAAGGTCACATTTTACAACAGGTGAGCTCCTTGATGGCCGCACTTTGGTTACACCACAAGTACACAGTTCTGACAGCATTAGTTCATCTCAGCAGAAAATCACCACCTGCTCATGCTCATAGTCACTGATATTTCCTCTTTGGATTAGATAAGGAGCGAAGGTGGGGAATCAGAAATACCCAGTTTCCATCCGTCTGTGAATGTTGTGAGCATGGTAACTTGAAAAATAAGTGAGATACCAACTTCCTCTTTGGTATGGGGCTAGGTGTAAGAAAAATCACTATTAAAAATTGGGTTGCCACATCAAAATCCAAGATGGCCACCTCCATATATACAGTGGTGCATGAAGGTTTGTGAACTCTTTATAATTTTTTATATTTCTGCATAAATCTGACCTAAAACATCATCAGATTTTCACACAAGTCCTACAAGTAGATAAAGAGAACTCGGTTAAACAAGAGACAAAATATTATACTTGTTCATGTATTTATCGAGGAAAATGATCCAATATTACATATTTGTGAGTGGTAAACGTATGTGAATATTTACTTTCAGTATCTGATGTGACACACACACACACACACACACACACACACACACACACACACACACA